TACTCGGGGGAGCGTCGCCTCGTCGCTTCTCGTCGTCCGCTCGAGGTACCCGTCTTTAGAGCTTCCTGCGGCTCTGTCGCAACTGGTTCGCCTCTTACGTCGGGCCCTCCGTCATTGGTTTGGTCAGCCCATCTCAGCGGTGCTTCTTGCCTAATTCGTTCCTTCAGATCTCTCAGAGCTCGATCGGGCGATGTCCTGTACTCCTCTCCCGCTTCGCCCGTGGTCGGTTGTGGCCCCATCGTGCCGGGTTCCATTGGACCGCCAGAAGACGCAGTTAGGTATTCTTGCCAACTGTTACAGCCCGACCCTATGACAGTCGTTGCAGCCCGGACCTGTTTCTCTGTCACGGCTCGCGCCCGTCTCCAATCTTAGCGCTCGACTGCCTTGATTACCACTTCCAGTATCCCGTACTGGTCGCAAATCTCGTGTCCTCCTTCTATCCCAAGAATCCCTGTGTCTAAGTAAACCTCTCCTTCGGGATCGGCCAACAAGGCCGTGCCTCTCCGGATCTGCAGTACACCCGTGACAGGACCTCTATCCTTGAGACAGATCGCAGTCCCAAACCTAGCCAATGTCTCCTGATCAACACCCCTCAAGAGTCTCTGAGCGTCTATCTCCGTCCTCCTTGCTAGTTCTCCTAGCCCTGTCCTGAATCGGGTAGCCCGCTAAAGGCCCTCCTACTGCCATACAAAGTCGCCCACCGACCTTTCTAGCTTTTACTATCCTTCCAAGAACTTCCAATCGGTTAGCCCACTATCTTATCTCCCAGACGCCTACAAAGTCATCTGTCTAACAACTGAGGTAAGTTAGTGCTATAACCACGTGTAACCTCATCGCCGACCGCTCCAATATGTCATAAAATGTCTCAAAGTCCTCCTTATCTCCACCATCGTCTATCGCCTCTAAAGTCTTTATCGATTCCTTCCAGTACCGGTCGTGAGCGGCTAACACCCTGAGTATTGCACCATCTGTTACAACTCTCCCTAACTCTCCAGCTTTCCTGGCTTCGCTTATCTTCAACCTCTCAGCCTCTCTGGTCGTCTCGTACCATGCCCTTATCCGAGACCGCCCTTCGAAAGGTGTCACTTGGAGTACGTATTTTATCCTCCGTCCTCCTTCTATTCCAATCCAAAGTCCTGTTCCCCTAGCCTCACGCAGCGCGCGGCGGACACACTCTGCTTCCTCAACTATGCACAGTCTGGTATGGAGCTGGAGTTCTATGATCACTAACACTAATGGTCCGTCCAGTCTCCCTATCACATATAATGAGTATCGATCCGTCGTGTGTAGTGTAGTCCCGCTCATGTCCTGTCGCTACTTCCCTGCGTTACTTTGTCTTGCGTTGTCTCACACTCTGCAGATCGCTCACTAGTTCCTTCACGTGATACGCTTCTAGCCTTTACCCTCTCCAGAAAGTCCGATCTCCACGCCTGGATAATCTCTCTTTCCTCCCTAAACAGATTCTCTAACTCTCTCGTCACGAGTTCAGCCCTACGCAACTTGTCCTCGTCCTGACACGAAATCTCCCTTAACTTGTCCCCCAACTTCTTTACCTGGTTCAAGAGTGGTTCTTTAACGCGCTTTCTCACTCTTCCGACTGCCTCACTCTCCTCTTCCATACTCAGTCCACATCTTTTTCCAGCTCATCCTCTCACCCTCGCTCTAGCCTCCGCTACCGTCTCATCGTGGTAGTGCTCCGGATGCATATAACCATGAGACCATATCATCACATCATAGGAAATCGAGGTCTGGAAGGTCACTCGTGCCAGTACATCAGCTCTACGCTCGTGGATCAAATCCCTAGCTCATTGTCTGCACTCACTCGCTGTCAAGTCCTCGTCTACGTACGCTCGGAGAAGTACTGTCACAGTGTATCCTGCCCTTACCAGTTGCTCTTCTACACGCATCACCGTGGTCGTCCTTCCCGGCATTCCCTAAGCTGCGGCCTCGAAGAGAAATCTCACATCCTCTAGCCTCGCGTAATCGATCTCTGCCTGTCTCCTGCAGTACCTAATCAGATCGATTGGCCTCAGACAGTTCACCCAGCCAGTAACGTCTATCATGTCGTCAAGCGTCTCTCTACTGGGCGGGCCCCACCTCACACAAATGACGTAGTATACTTCCTTGAAGCGGGGCGCTAAGCCCTCCCAGAGCGCGTAAAGTGTGTGGTCCACTGCTCTACTCAAACGATCCACGCTCCCATAGGTCTGCCCTATCACGAAGGTAGGAAGTCAGAATCACCAATCCTTTCTCGGGTAGAGGGTCGGATGTGGTGGACCGTATACCAAGCAGCTCCAACTTGTCCTCCCTCCAGAGAGTCTCGCCAATTGCTGATTAACGATCACTCTGGCCAACAACTCGCTTCTCCACCAACTCCTGCTCGCCCCTGCGAGCGTTAGTCCTATCTCTAAATCGTGTGCTCTATCCGCTATCAGATGTCCGACCCCTTCTAGATCATGAGTCCTCTCGGGGCGTTCCTCTCGTAGTATCACTGCCCAAAGGAAGAGCCCCTCTTCAAGCCACGTTCCCAAGTATCGTATCGGTACACGCCCTGCCTCTTCTAACACCACAGGAAGTGGTATGTCGTATCCAACCGCCGTCTCTCTGACTCCCACAAGCTTCCTCCCACTATACGATTCGGACTCTCGTGAGAGAACATAAGCTAACCAGGCCACTGAATCACTCCTCATCTCTTCTCCTACTCTCGGTCAGCATCACTCTACTACCTCCGATGCACCCCATCTCTCGACGTTGCTAACCCTTCAGACAACTCTCGCACTCAGGTCCAGTATGGTCGAGTAGGATCAGTAGCTAAGCTCACTCAACCGTCGCCCTAATGTGCTCCTCTACCTCCTACGTCCGGACTGCTACTCCTATCCTAGGAAAATGGGCGTCTGTAACGTCAATCTCCTCCTCGTCAACCTCACTCTCTGGGTCGACCCAGTCTGGCTCCCAGGCGTCCTCATCGTCCTCTC